GGAATGCAGCGACCACTCTGGGTTAAAAGGCTGGCTTAGAGGCCGCGTTAAGAAGCATGGGAAAAGGTAAATGTGTCTATAAAATTGTATGTTGTCAACTGAAATCCTGGCGAGTCAAGGCTGACAGCACAAGGAGCCAGCACTGGGCCAAACCACTCAAAGCCTGACCCTTCCAGCAAGGATAAACTGAAAGCAGCAAGTGGTTAAAGATGACAGATTTCATCTGCAGCTGCAGCTCCGGCTGCTTTTCATGGCTACCTGGCTCTCACCTCTTGTTAATTATTGTGGGCAGCCCGCTGCTTCGTGCTGCCCTGTGACTGACCCTCCGTACAGCGGGCAACCCTCGCTGCAGCTCCAGCCTCTCCTTGTGTGATGCTCAAGATTCAAATCCATGTTATTAATGGGCACATTCCCTGCAACAACCCAAAATTAAATCTGCCATTAATATAGGTAGCAAAGCATGATTGTGAGTTTAGTGCCTCCCCTGTTTGACTCTGATTTCAATATTTTGTGCGCTTCCTGTTTGGGCACAAAAATACCCTGCGGGGGTGCACTGAGGGGGTCCACTTCTACCCTAGACATGTGCAGGCTGTACAGCGTAAACAGAGGACAGTGAATTTTAACCTTGCCCTTAACATTATTATCTATTTATTCTGCATTGTGGTAGAACCTGGGGCCCCTAGCAAGATCCTAGCCCTCCGTGCTCATGTCGGTGCATGCGCATTTTTGTACAAGAACAAAATGCACTGCCCGGTTTTCCTTGGCGCTTAGCTGCACAGCCCTTCTACGTGGTTTCTTTGATGCTTCCTTGTTTTTCTTGGGGAGCGCTTTGAGGCACAAAATGTTAATGGGCTCCCAGTAGAGGTAGCAATCAGAGATATGCTGCTTTTTGATCAGTCTGCAAATGCTGTTTACTTTGGGTAGGGTGGGCAGGCAGTTTGAACACCTTATTTTCTAGGAGTGGTGCATCTTTTATCTCCTCCTTGTTTGTGTTTTCCGCTCTTCTCGGCTTTGTTCTCACAGGCTGTCTTAGGAGACAAGCTCCGGTTTCCCAGCATTTCAGCCTCTCCATCTTCTTTAGCAGAGAGCGAGATTTTCTGTGATACAGTGAATTAAAAGAGGGATCATTACCATGAGGGCACTGCAGAAGCTCTGTCCTTTGCAGCAAATAATATTCTGATGCCGTTTTCCTCTGGTGCCTCTTTCGGTGCGTCTTGGATCCCACTTAATACCGCGTGTGTCTGGCCGGCTGAGACTTGCTTTCAGCTAAGATGTCATCGTCTTGCATTTCTGCTTTAACCCCTTAGCCTGAGGTGTCAAGTTTTTTGCAGGAGGGAGAAAGGAAAATAAACTCTCACCGGCTCCCACGGGGTTGCTGACATGTGAACAAGTCCATAAGAGACTCTCAGACTGAATCCCTGCCGTTAGCACGCGGCTCTCGGGGAGCCCCGCGGCTCTGCACCAAGGGAGGGGAGCAAGGAGGCAAACGAGGGAAGAAACCTGTAGGCAGCTGCATTCTGCTATGCATTTATCAGCAAGATTAACTTAGGCACTCCATGACAGGAAAGCCAAGCATTGGGGAGATAGAAATGGTTTAATTGGCGTGTAGAGCAGATGGGGCAATACAGCCATAAGATAGTAAAGTGCCAAATAATAACTAACAACAACGGGCTTTTCTTTTTCTTGCTTTTTTTTAACATGAAGAGCCAAGGAGATGAAGATGTCGGGGAATCACTTGATGAAGTTATAAGCCCCGTGCTCAGAGTAGTTGAGTGATGCCGCCGGCTTCTCTCCTTCTCCATCGGGAGGCTGGGAAGGGGGGTAGGTTGCTTGCTTTGGGCTCTCGGTTTTGAGCTTTTCCCGACTCGAATACTCCGCCCAGCGATGACAATGGATTGGACAACGCCGAACATTAGCACAGCAGTGACCTTCTCGGCAGCCTTACGCAGGAAAAGAATTGTGGCTTTTCCACTCTATGAATGCCGTATAATGATATTTTCCACTTCAAATTAATTCCTGCGCCTAAACGGATTCATTCGCAGTGATTTTGAAGCCGGCGATAGGCAGCCTGCTAAGCGAATGGCTAACCTACCCTCCACCGAAAATCCCCGTGCCTGTTTGTCCTCTCTCTTACTCGTTGGACTGATCCTGGCTGATTCGTTTACCGTCGGCCAATAGGGAGTCAGCATGTTAACCTACCGGCAGGGGTAGGTGATGGCTGGCCCCGGGACCTCCACTGAGCGGCGTGACTTGTCATTTATCGGTCAGGGAGGAGGAAGCGGAGGGCGAAGAAGAGTCAGTGAAATGGGGGTGGCGGAAACTTTCCGGCCTGCGCGGGTTCTGGTACAAGTTGCTAGTTAGTCTGCTCATATTTCTAGTGCAGGCGTTGGCAGCACCTCCGGCACGCAAGGGCTGCTGCCCTCTGGATTATTTATTAGAAATAAACACAGAAGAACATTTCTGCTCCCATCGCTTTCCAAGCAACGTGCCAATCAGAACTATTTTCAAATTCCCTGTAATGCTGGCCCTTTGACTAAATGAACCGCCGGCCCCTAATTTTTCTCCTCGCAGCGTTTCTGCCTTTCATGTTACCAATAAAATACTTAAATTGTCAGTCATTTTCTTTATTTGCTGCTTCATGGGCATCCGTGCACCTTTGCTTGTCAGATTCTAATCTGACAGCACATCCAATCAAATTCCAGCCTACAAAGGTTTCCTAGGTAACAAACTCATAGGCACAATGTAGGACTGCACCGAACAGAAAAAAAGGAAACAAAACAAAAAAACAAACAACACCCCCCCCCTCCGACCCTGCAGCAGTTTTATTTAGTCAATAGTTGTGAAGTATTAAAAAGAATATAACCACTCCAAAACCAGATCCTGTGATATAGGCAACCTCTATTGTAATGGAGGGCAGGAGGAGAAATAAAATGTACCCGAAAAGTCTGTTTTTTTCAGCAGAGAGAAGAGCCTGGGACCATAATTCAGAGAATTACTTATAAGTGAACCAATAAGGATGCTGCTTCTTATTTTATACTGTCCAGAGTCTGGAAGATGCTTTGCAAGTATATACAGGCAGAATGATCCCTGCCCTAAGCAACTGCGAATCTACAAAGAAAATGGATTGTAGACACAAACGGTGCTAAGAAGGACGGAGAGAAACTGGAGAAGGTCCGGACGCAGACAACAAAGATGATAAAGGGGTTGGCAGACAAGCCATAGCAGGAAAGGTTGAGAGAACTAGGCATGTTTAGTTTGGAGGAAAGGAGATGAAGGCAGGGGACGTGATAGCAGTTTTCAACGGCTTGAAAGCCTGCCATGAAGAAGATGGAGAAAAATTGTTCTTCCTTGCCACAGATGGCAAAACAAGAAGCAGTGGATTTAAACTACAGCCCGGTAGTTATGGATTAAATCTTCCTGCCTGTAAGGAGAATCAGAGAAGGAACGAGCTGCCTACGGGCGTTGTAGTAGGGTAGAAAAGTTATGGCACCTTCTTCATTGGAGGTTTTCAAAAAAGGGCTGGATGGGCATCTGTCCAAGATGGGTTAGGAACAGCCCCTCTCGAATTTCTGCAGGTGTGAACTTAACGACCCTGCCAGATTCGAGGGTTATCTGAATGTCGTGCCCTTTTTCAGCACCAGTGCTAGCAGTGGCACAAGTGTAGAGAAGGGTTGGGTTATATATGCCATTGCACCCTGAGCATCAGGTCTAGAAAATCACTAGCCTTGTCTGTACACCCTCGCTATTAATCATTTAGGTTAACGATTTGGAGAAAATTATAAGGACACAGCCTTCCAGTGTGGTTTGAAATGTGTGGTCACCTGATTCTGCTCAG